GTATAAAGTAGGCTCCTATGGTTTTTAAAATGTATTCTTTTTAAAACATCCACACCTTCTCTCCTTCTAACACTCTCTCTTTGATTAGTTTAGCTTCTCAGACTCTCAACTGCCTCTTCCAATGTTCACAGATGACATCAGGGACTCGTGTCTATAGTTTTCTTCTTTCTTTTGAATTTTGGCCTCTTGATTCACTTTCTTTGAAGTTCCTCAATGCTCAATCTTTTACATTTGTAATATAAATAGTAAGAGGACTCTTTCAATCACATAGTCTATCACATAGTTTGCCATTACTGGAAACACAATTACTACATATCCTTTTAAGAGTTTAAAAAAGAAAAAAAGTCCTGAGGAAGGTGCAGGATAAATCCTCACAGAAATTCTGAGTGTAAATCAACATTTGTTCTCTTCAGTGGATAATTCAAATACTTAAGTCTTATGGGTCAGATATGAGGTGTCCCCAAAAAGCTCATGTATATAGGTGACTGTATGACCAATGTGATTCTGCAACCTGTACAACCAGAAAAATGAGAAATTATACCCCATTTGATTCAAATGTATGAAAGGTCAAGATCATTGTACTGCCATGTGTAACTAATAAAAAAAAGACAATGCAAGAAAATTTAGAGGTGAAATGATTGGGTTATGAGAGTCTTATCCTAATCAGTGCACTAATCGCTGACATGGATTAATTAGTTGATAACTGTAGACAGATATGATATGGCTAGAGGAGGCAGGCCTCTGGCGGTGTGCCTTTGAAGTATATATTTTGTCCCTGGTGAGTGGAGCTCTGCTTCCTGATTGCTATGTCCTAGACTGCTTTTCTCCTCCATGACCTTCCACCATAATGTTCTGCCTCACCTAGGGCCAAGAGCAATGGAGTTGGCCATCTATGAACTGAGACCTTTGAAATTGTGATCACCAAATAATCTTTTCCTCCTCAAATATTGTTCTTGTCAGGTCTTTTGGTCATCAAGACCAAAAAGCTAGCTAAAACTCTAAGTGCATCAGCCACACTATGTCTAACTGCTAAGAACCCCTTTATAAAATGTGCATGTGCATAGTGCGGTTATCCAGGTTTGTTTGGCAGTTAATTTTGATTGATCCTTTCCATCACCCCTTGTCTATGAAAGTGAGGTTAAGCATGGCAGAAATGAAAAGAATGCTGATTAAATAACTAGCAATCCAGATCTTTCATATAGAAAGGAGGGCTGGAGACATGTATATATCTGTCTATAATTATCATAGAGCTGTCAGTAGAAGAGTTCAGTAAGTTCAATTTATTGATGGAGAAAATCAGATTTTAAAGGTCAAAAAGAAGATGTTTGGAAATGCAGAAAGTATGAGTGGCAGTTTGGCTTACTCTGTGGGTGAAGACTGCCTTTGCCTCCCAGGAAATTTTGACTTTGGGACATGAGTTATAAGACAAGTAGATTTGACACTAACAATCATCTATGCATGCATACATTAGGGTAGAAATTAGAATATTTGTATGCCCACATCCCAGGACCCAGTTGGAACATTTGGATTCTCACATACCCTCCCAAGCAACAGCTATGTGTGTTGGCGGGAAGAGAGAAAGCTGGTACAAGAAAGCACAGGGCTTAGAAAAATTACTCTTAATCCAAGGATCTCAGCGGCAAGAGTTAAGCCATAAGTAAGTTTAACTAATTTGTTGGTATAAAGTTTTCCCACTTTTTAAAGAACTCTCTTTCAAAGTAAAGAAAGTATCTTTTATGTTTTTCCCACAGTTCTTAGCAGCGTTCACTGAACATAAAAACATAAAATGAATTAATCTCTCTTCTCCTAAAGGGAACTGTGTTGAATCTACGTTCATCTGAATAAGTTATTAAGTACTTTTAGCCACAAATGAAACAAAGCTTAAATACTATAACCACTCCTCTACTGTTTGGCAATCAGCTTTTAAAACTTCTTCCCTTCTACTTTAAGTCAATAAATTACAGTTCTGGAGGCTCTGCAACTTCTTTCCAATGATGTTTTTGTGCTGGACTGTACATTTTATACACTGTTTTAAATTTCTAGTTAAATGTTACATTTTGGGTCCAGGGTTTAAAAAAAATAAAACCTGTAATGAATGACTGTAGAGGTTTTTGCAGAATCACTGAAGTCTTGACAACATATCTATCATAGTAGGTATATTTTGCAATTGGACAACAGATTTAAAACATAATGTTTTGGTAGATTTTATTCACATAAATTTTTTAATCATATGCAAAGTCATTAACTACAAATTCGAACAATACAGTAAAAATGTTTAACTTAAGGTAGTACATACAAATTTCCTTAATACTCATTTTATTTACACATTTTTTTAAGAATTGATAATAAATACTTTACATATAATCTTTGTCCTCCATGTCTAACTTTGCATTAACAATTAAGTAAAACCCTTCAAATGAGAGGAATTAAATGTAATAATCCTTAAAGATTACAAGATTTGGCGGGGGGGGGGGGGGAGATACAAAAACAATGTAAAGGCATTTTATTCCTTTAATATTCTAAAAATGTACCTGTAAATTTTTAAAGGAAGCCTAGTACAATAATATTTTTATTCTATTGCTGTTTACCAGACAAACTTGTACACTATCAACAGCAACACAATTGTCCCGATACTATAAATAAATATATTTATGTTGAACTCACACTGAATTAACAAAAGTTAATCCAAGGTTTTCCTATTACCTTTGAGAGTTGTCATTAATAGTTCTATATTTCCATATTGAAATGCTTTCTAATACCCAGAAAACAAAACGGCACATTAATCATTTACCAAAATACACATTAAAACCTTAATGTAAAAGGCTAATTTTACTAGACTTTTTCTCAGACTATTACAGGAATCATTGGTTTTAGCAGTGATAATTTTTGAAATATACAAGTGAATTACCACAAAGTTCAATTTAATGACATATAAACTTCTCTTGGATTAAACAATTACTATTCTTCTTATCTCATCAATATACATTAAAAATTTACCTAATATAGTATTTTGAGAATGGAATGAAAGACAAAAAAGTACATACCTCTTAGTGAAGGGATTAAAACATTGAGAGGACATCCCTTTCTATTTCATCCTATGTAAAATTCACACAAGGGTTGGACACCCTGTAGAGTTCTGAAACTCATAACCACCAATCAAGTTAATGCAATCACTAAAAATCATAACATTGATACTAGTCCATTCAACTAGTATCAAATATTCTGAAAATATTAGACTTTCCAAAAATATACACAATTTAGGGGAAAAAAGTTTTAAATGTGACAGTTATAGCCATTATTATTTTTTAAATGAGAATTAAGGTAGAAAGGAACTTTTAAATTACTTTATTGAGATCAATTAAAAAATCAAAAAATTTATCAAAAATCAAAATCAGGTCTATACTGTTCTTAATTCAATTTATAACCAACAGCATGGATTATCTATACAGGATGTAGAAATGCCTCTCAAAAATCCCAAATATAATGGGCACCAAATATTAGGATCAGGAAATTAGCAGAGACCCCACAGATACATTATATATAATGTTTTAAGAGTGACACCAGAGTTGTTCTTTATCATCACAGTCATCAACATTTAACTGAGCTGTATATTTACTACAGATTATCTCTGTTTCTGAAAACAGTTACCAAGTTTGTTTTATACTGCCAAAACATTAAAGACCACACACTATTAATTGTTTTTCTCAGGTCCTGATGAATGATCTTTAAATCCAATTTTTCCAATGGATATAATCTATACTGCCACAACTCAGTTTCTTCAAATTAATTTTAATTATTAGAAGGTGCTACTTAATAAAGGTAGGATGACAGTTATTCACATAAATTATTAGCTCTGAAGAAGCATATTTAAAGATATGAGATTGATTATTTCTGTGATTCCAAATACTAGAGGAAAAAACAGAGGCAGCACTAAAGCTATTCTGTCACTTCATATAGGAATGGTACAAAAATTAGAAGAAACTAAATTTATTTTCTTTAAAAAAAAAAAAAAAAAGTTTGTAGTACCGAGGACCGGACCCAGAGACTCCCACATGCCAGGCTAGCACTCTAAACACTGAGCTATGTCCATGGATGGTCCTTTTAAAAAAATTATTTTGAGAATGGGTCTTGCTAAGTTACCCAGGTTGGCCTTCAATTTATAATCCTCTTGTCTCAGCCTCCAAAGTAACTGGGATTACAGGTGTGTACCAATGCACCTAATCTCCAAATTCCATTTTATAAATTTCTTACCTACTCTACTATCAAAAAGTAAGATATAGAGTCACAAAGTAAATATAAAAATCTCCCTTCATCATTATGACCCAATCAAATTCAAATTTGTATTCAGGTCACAAATTCTCTATATTTGAATAGTTCAGGAAAAAAAATTTAAAATGGAAACAAAAAATAACGAGTTTTTCTAAAGTTCTGGTTTTAAGTTGTGAGTCAGGTGAAAGTAAACCAAAATGAATTGCAAAAATAACATTCCCTTGAGAGCTGTGCTCTACAGGATCATGGAAACCTGACCACAGTCCAGTCCCTTCTAACCTCCTCCTATAATAACATCTACACACCTATACATGCAAACACACTTGTGCATACACACACATCAATAACTTATATAAAGCCAATAAACACAAATTGAGAAGAGGACTTTCCTCTATTTTCTTCTGAATTTCTCATTAGCAATAATCTTCTTCAAAAGATATACCTTTTGAGATTTCAACAGCTTAAGGGACTTAAACATACACCAGTGACAACTCAAGCTTTGTATCAAATGGTCTTAGTTAGTTTTTATGTGATTTTTAATAGCTTTCCTTAAGATGATTTCTTTGTATGATAGAACTTTTTTTCTGCCTGGCTAACCAATTTTATTAACCATCACAGAATTTCCTACCTCAAGGACTTACTTGGGATACAAATTGAATAAGGGTAAATATAAAAATATAGGAAATTTTTCCTTCCTGATACATAAAATTCATGAATTGCATAAAGATTTCTGTTTTTTTCATTTACAAATATATAAATTTATTAGAAAAACACATCTACTAAATTTGGTATATTTTCATTTTAAAGATGTATCATCTTCATTGCAAAGAGAAAAAGAAAGCAGAGTATTTTTCTCAAAAGCTATTTCTAATTAGAGAAATAGGTGGTGTTAACTGATTTACTAGCATTTTTACTATGAATAGGGTTATTTGTATTACTAATGAACCAAAACAAAACACAAGGGAAAAAAGTAATTTTAGCATGTTTGGTCTAAGTTGTCTTTCAAAGTATACTTTTTCAGGGTTAAAAGGTTAAAACATCATTCCTAGGATACATCCTTAGTTTTGAGATTATGCAAAGACACTTTGTATAAATCCCAGCACATGTTACCCAATTAAAGGATCATCATCATCTTCTTGTAGCTGAAGTCGGGAAAACGGATGGGGTACAGACAGTCTGTTCTGCATGATTATTATGAGGCATGTTAGAGTGGTTAATGCTAAGAGTGCACCAATAACAATTCCAATGGCTTCTGGGAGATTAATGCACCACTGGTCAACCAACAAGCACTTGGTATGACTAAAGGTTCCATTATTGGGATGTGGTTTTAATCCCAGGATGTGACACATCATTGGATAAATATCCACAATATTAATGGTGCTATACTTGTAGCCTTTGTGAAATGCAGGGCCGTGGGCAGCTAGGAACGGATGCATACTGGGCAAAGAATTATCATAACCATGGTCACCTACTGAAAAAGAACAAAATGATGTTAGTAAATATAATCAGTCATCTTATTATAAAAAAAAAACTCACTTCTAGTGTAAATATACTTCTTGATAGCCTAATTCTCTTCTATTAAGATTCTGGTTAGTTGAACCAGACAGGAGCCAGAATTAAAAATTTGTATTTTCAACTCAACCGTGTCCCCTATTTCACACACACACCCCTTAGCCCATTGCACCATGGCCTCAGACTTTAACACTACTTCTCAACCTAATGTACTTACCTTTTAGTACTAGTCCCACTTACTTAACCTCTCAATCTCCAGCTCTTTTTGTAAAAACTCACTTAAAAACAGCACCATTGATAAAAAAGTGTGGTCAGGCTGAATAGGGCAGAAGACCAATGAATAGAAAAGTTAATTTGCAGCCTTACTCATCTCAATTGCTCCTGGAATTAAGAAATAGGATGACATAATGTACTGGCTTACTAAGAGTTAATAAATGCTTGAAAACAGGATGGTAAGATAGGTGAGAATTTTACAAGAGGGATTCTTGTATCAAATGTAAAATGCAACAAGATTTACTCCAACTTGTAATTCCAGTAAAAGTCTGACTCAAAGAAAAACAGGGAATGGTCCCTAATGGAACTCCAATACCAAATTCACAAGTGTTAACTTTGTTTTAACAAATATTGTCTTTTAATGTACATAAGTTACATTTAATAAATTCCCACTTTCAAATCAAGTATAGATGACTAAATGATACGTATCAATGTATGTTACATTATTAATTGTAAATTTAGAATATTTCAAAATAATGAATTTGATCAATATGACAAAAAGCAAAATATAGACATAGATAGATGTTACGATTTTAATAATATTAAAATCTGCCTACATATGTAATAGAAAAAAGAATAGGAGAGGAAAACTCCTACAATTAATATTTGTCTATATCTGTATGGAGGGATTATGGATAGTTTTGTTCTCTTTCCTATATTTTCCAAGTTTAAAATAATGAGTTTATAAAATAGCATAAATATAAATACACAGATCCCACTGACTCCAAGTCCGTGTTGTCCTTGCCTGATTCTCCTAGATTGCTATACATCAGAGATCTGATAAAACTGGCCCTCCACTTGTTTGTGTGAACCATGTTTCACTGCAGCACACCACTTCAATTGCTACATATTATTTGTAGCTGCTTTTGCATGATAAAAGCAGAGTTGAGTGGCTCAGACAGAGACCAATCAATGGTTCACAAAGCCTAATATATTTACAATCTGGCACTTTATAAAAAAAAAAATGTTTACTGACCCCTGCAATGGAGTATAATTTTTTTACTCTTTTTTTTTACAGATTATTTTTTAAAGTATTAAAATTGAACATAAAATATGGACAAATGAACTTCAGTTGCAGCATGACCTAAAACTCACTCCTACATATTCTCTGTTTAAGGAGAGATTTTGATACACCTGTTTACTTGGTGGGTTTTTCTGTTTGTTTACTTTCTGATTCTTGTCTAGTATTCTAAATAGCTTATTATATTCAAGGAAATTATATCATCACTGGGGAAAGACTCAGGGTTATGAAAAGGTCTTCAATTCACACTATTAAAAGGAATTTGAGGGCTGGGATTGTGGCCAGCAGTACAGCGCTTGTCTAGCACGCGCGAGACCCGGGTTCGATTCTCAGCACCACATAAAAATAAAGGCATTGTGTATTATGTTATGTCCATCTACAAAAAAAAAAAAATTCTCTCTCTCTCTTAAAAAAAAAAGGAATTTGAAATAGCTAATCTCTCTCCTTTAAATTTGTTTCTTTAGCTTCCCTTCTTTTTTCTATAAATCAAGAGAATTATCTTGAAAATTGCTGACAGTAACTATACTTTTGATTTTTATTTTTAAGTAAATTGTGGGCTGGGGATATAGCTCCATTGGTAGAGTGCTTGCCTAGCATGCATAAGGTGCTGGGTTCAATCTCCAGAGCCATGGGGTAAAAAAAGGCAAATCTACAGCTTCATCCTTCTAATTGAAAAGTGAAATTATGGTTATTGTAAATTACTATTGAATGAAAACCTGACCATCATCTAATAGGAAAATGAACTAATAATACTGTGTGAATATATCTAAATCAAAGTACCCTTTTAACAGAACAGTGTCACAATGTGTGATATATTCCTAGGATACAACAGAAATACCCTAAATACTTACATTTTGATGATGATTTATTTAGTACAATTGTCCAGCCTTCATCAGCAACCAAAATAATTGGCTGAATTCGATCATTATGTTGGTAATAATATCTGTTAGGAATGTCTTTTTTGAGATAAACATTCATGTGAGGGCTACAGTTTTTCAGTTTCTCATAAACCTCTGTTATATCTATAAAAAAGAAATAGCAAAGGAAAAAAGTCATGGTTACCTGATAAGGAAAAAAATGTCTAACTAGATTAGCTGGAATTAGATTCTGGACAATGTCATCTATTAAATAACTGAATTATTAAAACAACAGAGCAGAATTATGTAACACTGTTGAGGATGAATGGACACACACACATACACACACACCCCTTTATCAAGCATTTACATACTCTTCTTCGTTTTGTGGATAATCCACAAAATGATTATCCACCTTTATAGAAAGAAACAATATTTATGTGGAGATTCCCAAGTAAACATAAGTTATGTATTACTACCAATTACTAATTTTATGATAAGTAGAATAAAGATATATCTCACACTAAAATCCAAGATTTCTTTAAAAACAAAAATATCCTTTTTCCCCCAGTGTGAATAATTTTAAAATAAATAAAAAGAAGAATCCAATCGCTCAAAACTTGTAAATTAGGAAGGAAAAAAAAATCCTACTCTATTTAGTATTCTGAGTATAATGCTGAACTACAAAAAGCCAGCATTTCATTTTTTAATACAACTCTCCCTCCTCAACCAAATGCTCCACTCAAATAATAGTATCCCTCAGCTAAAAGTCTACTTACTTATTTTGGGGAGCACTGCAGCAACTGGGCTCAAATCTATAAGACTGTAGTTTGAACGATCGATGCAGAGATCCAAGTTTATCCATCTGTTCTCAGAACACTGAGTCATCCCATGATCACTTGTAATAATCACATTAAGATTTTCCCACAATCCTAACATCTTGAGCTTTTGGACTAGGTAACCAATGAGGTCATCTATTTCTTTCAATACCCTGCGCATGTTTTCTTTATCTTCTGGTCCATATTTGTGTCCACTTGCATCTGGTTCTTCCCAATAGAGTGTTGCAAAGGTGACTGGTGGGTTCGAATTGCTGAGCCATGTCGTAATGTTATTTACTCTCTCCTCAAATGACACTGACATGCTATAATTCATAAAATAGGAAGGTGTGGTATTGTGAATGAGTACATCAGTACCAGGCCACATAGCAGCAGCACTCGATCTGTTTTCCTGAAGCTGATTAGTCACCCAAATAGGTACTGCCTCATTCCACCAAAAAGGATCCTTGTCATTAGAATCAGAAAAATGTTTTTTTGTGACTGCATCATACATGGAATTGGCTACAATGCCATGGCTTTCCTCATATAAGCCTGTCACAATGCTATAGTGGTTTGGAAATGTTTTTGTGATAAAAACATTTTTAACATGTTCTACCAAGACACCTTCTTTGATAAAATTCTGGAGATGAGGAAATTCATAGTTCTGCAGATAGTCAGCTCTAAAGCCATCAAAAGACACCAGCAGTAACTTGGGTGGCAAACTATATGAAGAGTTACCTCTACAACCAGTCATAAGTCCAGAAAACAAAAGTATTACTAATAACTTCATAATGAACACGTTGAAGGACAGCAATCAGGGTTCCTAAAATATAAAAACACAAATCATATGTAGTAATGCTATTTGATTTGGATTACGATTCATAAGTTCAACCAATAGGTGATGAGAATCAATATTCATATACCTTTTATATGCCAGCTTCACCTATATCAACTTAAAAATTACAAAATGTCATTTAAGGTTAATTTACTAAAGCTAAAGTTGGAAAAAAATTAAAATTGCCTTTACTTCTCCAATTTCCCATTATACATGTCCTGCTTCAGCCTTCACGCTGTGAAGGTAAGATGGGTCATTCTCTCCCCCCCCCAGTAAACACTTGTGCTTGACAGCCCTGTTCTCTGTAGCAGTAGAAATTATTCTAAAGGCTTAACAGAAAGCGTAAAAATAAAAGCAATTCTTTTGTACAAAATACAAACAATATCAAGATTTCATTAGCTCCAGAGAAACATATTATTTTTCTAGTTTACCGAACAGTATCCTATAGTTCAATTCACAGAAATAACTAGTGGAAATTCTACCATTTTGGCTCACTGACCATTCTTATTAAAAAATACTGGCTTAAAAAAGGAGATTAAGAAATAAATGCTATTTAAGAAAAATATCTCCACTCAGTCTGTACTATCCCAATATTTACATGAAGTTGACTAACAAAGAACAAAGTCTACAGGGACTAACTTCTGAAGAAATTCAACAGCTGCTGAAATCAATTTCATCATCACATCCCTCTTAAACTTCCACTTTACTGTGGAAGACTTAACTATTTGTTATTTTTGAAAATAATTCATTGATATCAAAAACTCCTTTCATCTAATAAATATCCTTGCCTTCATTCTCCACCTTCTTTAGTCTCTAAGAAAATAGGATACATGGTTTAAGCAGAAAGATTTGCTTTAGATGGACAGGATACACCTTCCATCGTCAGGACAGAAGGAGCAAAAGCTAAGGGTGAAGGGAGTTGCCCTCTCTGCATTGCTGGAAATAGGGTCAATTATTGAAAGAGAGTAAGGTGGAAAAAGGTTCAGAGATTTGAGGACTACAGAAAATGTATGAAATGGTCAATGTGGAGAATGGGAGAGAAAACGAAGAAAGGGTAATATTGGTGGGTAATGCTAATAGCTGGTATCATGGATTTTCATAAGTGACATTGTTTTCCCTATCAACTCAGTGGCCCTGGCACAGGCATGAGCAAAAGGCAGCTGATCCAACCCAAGCTTCAGATTCTGGCTGAAACTGAAAGATGATTAGGCTGAAGATGTTGACTAAAGAATAGCTGAAGCCAGTAGGGTGGCACATATCTGTAATCTCAGGGACTTAAGAGGTTGAGATAGGAGGATCCCAAGTTCAACTTCAGCAACATAGCAAGGCCCTAAGCAACATGGAAAGATCCTGTCTTAAAAAGAAGAAAAAAAAAGAGTGGCTGAAATTCAAGTTGCAGCATCTAGGCTGAAACTTGAGATATGCAGGAAGTAGAGAGGTTTTTGAACTAAAGATTCTGATGGAGTCAAAGAACAGATGTCTTAGGAATAACTTTCCATGAAAGTTGCAAAGATGCAAGATTGTGGTCAGAATGAGATATACAGTTCATTATTTCAGAGTAAGAAACCCTTGGGTCTGGCTACAGGAGCATGCAGCTTTAATAGCAGCAAGCTAACTAATAATGATTATTAAGTTCACAAGCCATTCATTGTGTACTCTTCTTTCTACAAACTAGACTGCAATTTCTTGAATGCAGAGACTTTCATCTTTCTTTCAAAGACACTACCAGGATGATCTGTATCCTGGTAGTCATTCAAATACTTAGGGATTGAAGCTGTGATTCCCTGAAAACCAATGACTTAAAGTTCTGGAATCAAAAGGTACAAAATCATATTTGTGAAGGTCTTTTGTCTGGAAGATCCTCTACCATATCAATATGAGATAGGTGGCAATCTGAATGTGGTACTTTGGACATCTGTTGCTGATGCCATCAAAGAAACCAGAAACAGTGCAGAATAACAAAATCAAACTACCTTTTAATAGGACAGAGTGACAATTCTAATGAGTAATAGATGAAGCACACTCCTACAGATACAGCCCCCATTGTACTGTGCCAGCAATTCCAGCTATCAAGAATCCATATATGTAGAACTTCCGTTTTCATTCAGTGTTTTGTGTTGTACTCTACCATAGAGTTTATGCATAACTCAACTCCTCTCTCAGAGGAGAATATTGTTCAGTCAGACAACACTATTATGTGAGCTGGTGCTGTAGGTTCCAGAAATTTGAGAACTTACGTCAAAGACACAAGATCTCCATGAAGTCTTGGATTCTGTAGATTCCTAGTTACTCTGAGTACAGGTACTTCCTGATACTCAAATATTTGTCCAATAAGAGTAAATTAAAATAGCAAAGATATGACACAGTATCTTTTCAAGGACAAAAGATAAATATACTTTTTAAAAAATGCATTATTTACAACCTGGCTTTATCCCTAAGTAATCATTCTATATTCCCAACCAATCCACTGCACAAACTATTCTGCTGAAATGTACAATCAGATATATATCAGAAGGAATGCATTCTCTACACTTCTAAATTTTTCCACTTCATTAGTGGAAATAACTTCACCATTCTCTCAGGCACACAGATATCTGAGTACCCTGTCAACCAGTCTAGTCAATCCTTACTTTTTATATCATCTAGTACAAGACTGTAGCAAGAATCACTGAAGAGAGCTGTTAAAAGTGCAGATGTCCAATCTACACTTAGAAAATTATGATTCAGTCAGTCTAGAGTTCAGGCCAAAAATCTGCACTTTTAACAGCTACCCACTCTTTCCTGTCTCCACTGCTGCTGTACTCCTTAAAGTCCTCAATACCTCTGTCTGTGGCTCTTCTGTCTTCTAACTCACCTTCTTACCTTAATCATCTTCCCCCTTGTCACCCAACATCTGCTGCCAACTTAATCTTCACAATATTTCACTTAAAAAAAAGTTCAAAGGATACTGAAGTCCAAACTCCTCCCATACCTAGGTCAAACATGCTTGTAAATTACTGTGAAATGGGTACTGAAATAACTACCAACCTTACCTCTCATCCATTATACTGCACTGTATTACAAAGACATGTAAAAGATAATTGTTACTTATCTTGGTAACTTGTAAGTGACCTGTAACCACTCTTCAGTAATAGTTTGTGCTTCCAGAACATTTTTAAGTTATTTTCTACACATGAAGCCTTGCTCAGACACTCTTTTAGATAATTTTTAAACAATCATTCAACAAATATCAAATATAACTAATTCTTTTTTTTAAAGAGAGAGAGAATTTTTTAATATTTATTTTTTAGTTTTCGGTGGACACAACATCTTTTTTTTATTTTTATGTGGTGCTGAGGATCGCCAGGCGAGTGCATTACCGCTTGAATCACATCCCCAGCCCCCAAAATATAACTAATTCTTGAATGCAAATATATAAATATATACATATGCCATTTAAAATACATAATACTCAAAACAGGGGTACAAATAATCAAAATAATCAGGCTGTCATCTTGGAAAGATAGATAGGATTTATACTTAAATCAACTTTGTTTTACAACACCAAGACTTCTTTACAACACTGTTTGAGCTTCAACACAATAAAGTTTTATTTTTTAAAAACTAAGCCCTAGAGGAATGACTACAAATGGAATATCAGAGTATGTCCAAAATTTTTCCAATACAGTTACCTCTAAGAGTAGAGGGGTGCCACATCAATTCAGTAAATGGTATAAGGACAACTGAATATCCACATGCAAAAGAATGAATTTGGAGAATCCATCTTCTGCTGCATACAAAAATTAACTCAAAATTGACCATGAACCTAAGGTTAAGAACTAAAGTTGTAATGCTCTTAGGGGAAAATATAGGAATGAATCTTTATAATCTTGGATTAAGCAAAACCTTCTTAGATACCACACCAAAAGCACAAATAACAACAAAAGAACTGGACTTCATCAAAATTAAGTTTTGTGCTTCAAAGGATCATCTAGCAAGTGAAAGACAACCCACAGAATTGGAAGAAAATAGTTGCAAATCATATGTCTGGTAAGAGATTTGTACCTAGAATATATATAATAAAACTTATAACTCACTAACATAAAGTTAAATAATCCAATTTAAAAATGAGCATAGGAACTAAAAAGATATTTATCCAAAGAAGATACAGATAACAAACACATAAAAAGATGCTTAACATATTAGTCATTAAAGAAATGCAAATTAAAAAATCACACTGAGATACAACATCCACTAGGATGGTTAAATAGAAAAGATTAGTAACAAGTATTGGAGAGTATATAGAGAAATCTGCATTTTCATAAACTGCTAGTGGGAATGTAAAATGGTACAGCCACCCTGAAAAAATAAAAACATCCAGGCAATTCTTCAAAGAGGTTAAAGAATTACCATAAGACCCAACAATTCTAATATCAGCTATTTACCCAGGAGAAATGAAAACATATATCCACACAAAAACTTGCAAAGGTTCACAGCAGGATCATCATCAGAGTCAAGAAGTGGAAACTATTCCACCAAAAACTAAATAAAATGTGGTACACCCACATAATACGATATCTGGCAATAAAAAGGAATGAAGTACTAAAATGTGCTACAACTTGGATAAACCATGAAACATTAGGGTAAGTGAAACAGGCAGTCACAAAAGATCACCTATTACATGATTCCATTTAACTGAAATGCCTAGAACATGCAAATCTATAGAGAAGAAAGTATACCAGTAATTACCTAGGGCTAGACACTGGGAGAGAATGGGGAGCAAACGCTAGTGGGTATGAGGCTTTTTGGGGAGGTGATGAAAATGTTTTAAAATTGATTGTAGTGATGGTTGAATAATTCCATAAAGTTGCACACTTTAAATGAGCAAACTGAATGGCACCTGACTTATACCCCAATAAAAGTATTACATTTTTAAAAGTAGAGGGAAGTGAAATTATATTCTTAAATGCCCCACCACAGAACAGGAAATATCTTTTGTCATCTCATTTTTACCACAAAAAGTATGTGAACTGTGTATCCCATAATACAGATTTTTTTCTTAGCTATAGTTGGACACAATTCTTTTATTTTATTTTTTATTTTTATGTGGTGCTGAGGATCAAACCCAGCGCCTTGCATGTGGTAGGCGAGCGCTCTACCACTGAGCCACAACCTCAGCCCCCATAATACAGATTTGAGTGCTTAAATGTGAAAATACTGTACACCACTTCCCATATTCAAAACACCACCACAGTAAAAATCCTGTGTTTGTCCTTCTAAAAATACAAATCAAAATCCTTCCCCTAATCTTGAGTATAAAGGATGCTCAAAGAATTCTGGCTATTAACTCTAGGGTTCAGTAATCTCTCAGCACACACTGCTTGGACCCAAATGTGCCTGTCCTTATCATTAAGCTCAGTAACATGGACAAAGCAAAAAGACTATAGACTCTGAAGTCAGAAAGATCCCAGAATAATGAGCTTAGTAGATGGGTAATCTTTTTCAAATCTATTTTCTTTCAGTTTCAGTTTCCTTGTGTTTAAAATTGGGAATGCAGAAAAGTTACAGAACAGGCCCTCAAAATTAGTTTCTATTATCTACTCTAGTTACAAAGCTGTTATGTTAGGAAATGAATAATTTAGGCTAATCTCTCTTTAAATATGATAAAGTTGAAGTCCAGCAATTAGTAGCTTTATTGTGCTTTTACTAATTTCATGTTCTCAATAACTGTACAAGTCTAGTAGTAGCAAGTTAACAAATCCAGTAATATGCTCCAAACTGTTAACACAGCTTTACCTGCCTAGATTTATGTCTACCACATTCTGTTTCATTCTAACAGCAAATGTTAAGCTATAAGCAAATCACCAGTGAGAAGTTCTCAAGTAATTTTTTGGGGTGGGTGGGAGGAGGACCAGGACTTGAACTCAGGGAACACTCGACTACTGAGTCATAATCCCAGCTCTCTTTTGTATTTTATTTAGAGAAAGGGTCTCACTGAGTTGCTTAGCACCTTGCTTTTGCTGAGGCTGGCTTTGAACTCCACATCCTCCTGCCTCAGCCTCCCT